TTGATCAATATGGAATGTTTTTTTATTACAGCTGAATAGAATTTTATATCAGTTGGCTCTGGTCTCAAAAGTAGATTTTTATTTTTGTTTTGACTTGTAACAGTATTTATAAAACATACTGTTTCAGTTTGATTTCTAACTCAGAATAATTCAGTTTAGTAGGTTTTTAAAAATTATCTAAAACGTATTATTTAGAAGTCTACATGATGTATTTCTTGACTAATGTTGAACTGAATTTTCCCATATTTTTGTCAAAATAATTTAATTTTTTTATGTTTTTTTTATGCTAGATGTCCCAAATTCTATACATCTATAACTCTAATAACTACAATAATTGAAGAGATTTCTACAGTTCTTCTATATTATTTGATTCATTTTTTTAAAAATAAAGATAAGCATCTAATTTGTAATGAACCAAATGTAAACGTGTCAAATTTCTAAAATAAAATTCAACTTGCAAATATGTTTTTAAATAGCTGTTAGCATTTCCATAGATATTTACTAAAAAAATATAAATCAGCTTATAAAATATTTTTAGTATTTATTGATTCAAACAAAAAAAAAGTGAATATTAAATAGAATAAAATATCCAATATATATGTTGTAATTTAATGTACAAATTTATGTCTGAAATAAATAAAATGTATCACCTAATCATGTTGATATAAATTGAGTACTGTATAACAAAAATTTACATGAATTATTAATTGTGTGTTCTATTTATATCAATTTGTAAAATATTTTATATGTTACAGGTCTATTTACTAGTTTTAGATAAATTAGATGCTTAAAATGAAATATTGATTGACTGCATTTTCAGAAATTAGCTTTTTCTTATTAAATTTTAATTATCTTTGATCTATGTTTCCTTATTAATGTTTTATATAAATGTGATGTGTGTGTGTGTGTGTTTGAATATATATATTGTCAATTTTACTTAATTGTTTGCTTAAAATGTATATTTAAAGATCAATATACATTCTCAGTATTTGCTATTTTAGATTTTAATTATCTCTGATTCATTTTAATATTTTCATTCAATATTTATTCTTATGATAGCTAAATAAATTGATATAAAGTTTTTATATAAAAATGTTTTTTATCAGCCAAATAATTTCATGGTAAGGTGTCTGTGGGGATCTGTTTGAAATTCTGATTTGAATCCAATTCAGGCTTCCTTAATTTAGATTAACTATTGTAGTTTTTGAAGCATCATTCTTCATATCTAACCTATATCAGCCAACCTTGTTGCAGGTTAGTTTTCCTATTCAGCAGTGGTGTTGGCCAGTTATAACTACAATATATCCATTATGGATGGATTTATAATTGTATTCACACAGGGTATATAATTGAGGCTGTCCTGATCAATTATCTAAAAAAAATTTTTTTTAGAATGTTGTTTATATTTTCAAGACACATTTTAGTTTGAAAAAGTTTAATTATTTTTGAATATAATAATTAACATACTATTTATATATTAAAATTAGTTTGTAATTTTCAGTTTGATAAATTATTGTTAGGAAAATAATTATTAAAAATTGAAAATTTTCATTTTTCTAAGGTCAAATTTATTACAAATTTAATTAATTTGTAAATATAACAAACAAGTGCAATTTTATTTTATTTTAATCCAAATGATTTTAATATTAAATAGTTAATTGAGATGTTCTATTTTTATCTTAAATTTCTACACTTATTTAAGATATAAATAATGAATCTATAATTCTTGTAAAAGTATTTAATGTCCTAATTATCAGTTTAAAATTTCTTGATAAATTTGTAAATTTTATTAATAAGAATAAAATTTTTTGAAAATTATTTTATATATTAAATGAAAAATTAATGTATTATTTTTTGGGATTTAGAAAACTAATAAAGTAATAATTTTTTTTTAATAGGAAATCAGTAAGGATTCTTGGTTTTGAGCTTTTGATTCTTATTATATTCTAAATATAATATCAAATAATCTTATCAATCTGATTATATCATGTTGATAACATTATTTTTATAAGTATGTATTATTATTTAATAACTGTTAGCCATTAAATTGTATACAAAATTATCTACAAAAATAGGATAAATGATAAAAGTCCAAAGATGAGGAGCAAATAAGTTCTGTTTAAATTTGTTTTAATGTATGTATTTTGAGCATTCACACATTTTTATTCTATTTTTTAATAATAATAAGATTTCTATATAAATGTCGAGATTGTTTTTCCTTGATATAAACTAATAAATCAGTTTTTGAAGGGTGATTGATATGATAATTGGATAACTAATAAATAATTGGCAAGAAAGAACATGAACCAAGTGGTACTATAGGAATTATAATGTTCTTCTGTCAGATTTTTCTGTCAAATTAAACTGCTTGCAATTTCATGTCATCTCAACAAAGAAATATTGTACAATTATGAATCACTTTGTTTCACAATACAAAGCAAAGAAAAATATTTTAATTTAAATATTATTTGTGTCAAGTTTAGTGTAAAACAGTGTAGTATGACAAGTAACTTAATGTTGATGAATTAATTTATAATTAGTATCTTAAGAATGTTTGAACAGAACTCAAAGGACTTAAAGAAATTAAGAAAGGAAAGAGAAACTGAGTCACAGTTAACATAAGTACAAAAGTCATATGAGAGAAAATGAAAACTATAATATAAGGAGAAATATGCAGATACTTATAAATAATTCTTTATTTATTCTAAGAAAAAATATTAGCCACTTTTAAATTTGAAAAGTAACTTAAATCCAGATTTAAACAATGGAAGAACTAGGTAGAATAGAGAATAAAATGATCTTTCACAGGAGAATGAATAGCAACTTGTTCTATTTTGAAAGGTCTTTCTATGATTAGAGTTATCTTTTTATCATTATTTGTTGTTCTATTAGATGCGTGCATTGGTACAAAGTGACTAGTAAACAATAGAAAACAGATAAATTTTATTGTAAAAAGAAGAGTCTTAAAAAGTAATAATTGAAGAATGTGAGAATAAATAAGGAATTGTATTAAATAATTGAAGTGATAAAAAGTGTTAATCAGTTTAGAGGCTAATTGCCAAAATAGATTTTAAAAACTTCTAGTTTAAATTTAAAGTTAACAAATTTAATTTTAGTAATAAAATAATTGAAAGAATTGAGAATTTTGTTTAACAGTTTAAAATTTGAAAATCTGTTATTTTATATTTTTGGTAGAGTAGTTTTATATATATAAAGAATATAAATCTGTATTTTTAGAAAATGTTGTTTGGTTGTTTTACTCAATTAGTACAAAACCTTTTGAGGATGGACAGTTATGTTGACTGAAACAAATATATTTTGTCTCTTATGATTTAGGGTATGTTTGTTTAAAGGTTGTTAAAAATAAGTTTTTTTTAAAACTAAAAGTTGTAGTAGTATTTATTTCTTTTAATTCAATTAAATAAATAAAAGCAAATTATTCTTAATTTTTTTTTACCTCTATCTCATTTTTGTTTTTCAATTATATATATATATATATATATACACACACACACATGTATATATATATACTGTCTAATTGTATCTTGTTTATTAATAGAACTTATTATACTGGTGTAGTTTCTGATTAACAAAGAGAGGAAATCTTAGTCAAAAGCCAAAACAAAGATCTCCTCTGTTTGCTAATCAGAAGGTACACCAGTATAATAAGTCCTATTAATAAACAAGGTCTAAGTAGACAGAATATATATATCTCTATAGAAATGAAAAATTATTCTTACTATTAATGATACATTTTGTAAGTGAAAAATATTGAAAAGCACAGAGTGATGTGATTAAAAAGGAAAAAAAATTATATTTTATGGCATGTTTTGCTTTTACAGTTTTTATTGATTGACTTGGTAACCTAGTCACCTTCAATAATTATTGAATGAATTCTTACTAATCTCTAGCAGTTATATGGGACTGATAATACCTATTATGTAAACATAATTTATCAACTTGGAATTAATTAATCTGGGTTGATAAATTGAATTAATCCAGTTGATTTTGGGGGCAAATTTTTTGTGATATGATTTTCTCATATATCTGATCTCACTTTTCTGATTTAAAGTTACCTGTAAAATAATTTTTCTATAACTGGTTTCATTACCTACAGCAAGTCAGTTTTGACTAACTTTTTATTCAAATAGTGTGTTTTCTAAGATTGATAATGGCTGATGTGGTCATGATGTATATGGTATATAAATAGGAAAATGATAGACCATCATCTGCATGATTTCATGCAAATGAAAGATTTTCTGCTCAATGCAAAACTTTTCATTTTTCAAGGTTGGTCTAGTTGTCATGCCAACGTTACCAAAATATGTAATACGTGAGCTCTGTATGTCCGTTAATATTTTTTTTTATTTATGTTGTATATTTTCCTTACTTTGAAATAAAACATCAGCATTTTAATATATAATTTCTTTTTGAGGAAGTTTAGTTGTTTGACAGGTATAGATGAGAGCTAAAGATATTTTTGTCTCGTTCTCATTTGTTCTTGTAATTTATATAACTTATACAGTATTTTGTTATATCTACTTTTATAAGTTAGCAGTTTCTTTTTATTGTAATAAAAAAAGATTGATGTTCACTTTAAAAGTTATTTTTAAAATAATATAAATAATTAGAAATAAAAGAGAATCTATTTTCATAAAATCTTAATTACATAATTTAAAATATTAATTTGTTGAATTATTCAAATATTCTAATAGTGTTTTAAGTGGATATAATGAATTTTTAAAAAAGCAAATGAATAAAATCATCATTAATTTAGAAGACCATTTTTTGTTTTTAATTATTGAATAAAGAATTGAATTTTATCATTAAACAAGTATCTTTTAAAATTATTTCTAAACTGAATGTTTTATATTATATTCTTAGAACCATTATGCTTCAGCAAAAAAATTTTATTAAGTTTCATAATTTAATGTATAATTTAAGAGAAAAAATATTTTATAAATAGCCTACATAATTGACTCAATGTTGTTTCTATTAAGGTGTTGGTGCAACAGCTATTGTTCATACTGCTTATTGTAAACCTCGGAGAGAGAAATGTGCTATAAAAAGAATCAATCTGGAAAAATGGAATACAAGTATGGATGAACTACTGGTAAGATGAAAAACAGTTTTTGCCTTTTAAATGTTTTTGGCAATAATACAGATGGAAGAAATTCATCCTCTGTGCAGTAGCACAGAGGATGAATTTCTCTCTTACAATGAATGTTTAGTCATCATTAAGGCTAGGACATCTAGGAACTAAAAACCATGCAAATAGTTATAAAAGTTGTAACTTATATATCGTTTTTATAATTATTTTTACAATATCTAATGTATAGCTATCTTAGCCTTTGTCATCATCCATTTATTAATATGAAATATAATTTNCTATAGAATTCTCACTTTAAAATAAGAATTCAGCTGGTAAACATTGAATATCTGTGGTTTTTTGTTATGTTTCTTTATTGGGTAACTGTTTAAATGTTTTGGATATTTATAGTTTTTTCATTTTAAATTTAAATAAATTTTTAAGTGTGGCATTTTTTTGTAGTATAAAACTTATAAATCAAAAAATAAATTTTGAGATTTTAGTAAATGACTAGATTTTAAATGCAAATAAACTCTGAAAATTGTATGTTAAATTTCAATTCTGTAAATAAAATGCTTATAAATTAGCAAACATTATTTAATAAATTTTTGATAACAGAAATTTGACTTAAAAAGACATTGCTTTGAAATTTTGATTAAAAATATGTGAAAATTTGAAGCCAACCATTAAGCATGAGTCACTGAATTTGAAAGAATTAGTGCTGAATTCTTTTCTGGATTAGATTAAATTAATATGAATAAGTAGACACCTTCTGAAACACAAAGGAAATGTATTTATTAAATTTAATATTCAATAGTTTTAAATTATTCCTTAATGTATTCATTTAATGAAGTGCACNTTGTTGAATTTAGAATCTGATGAGCATAAAATATGGCATAACATGATCAGAAAAAAATAATTTGTGCCACATGTTGCAATTCTGCAACAATCTAAAAACTGAGAAAAAAATGTTTTTCAACCATGAAGTATTTGGTTTTTTTTTTTTTCCTAAAATAATTACTTGTAACTGCTCAGTAGTAATTATATATATAGTGAACATAATTTTTGAGACAATTCAATGTTATATATATATATATAAAAGAAATTATGCTTTATTAACTGTGCAATATTAATCTTCTAAAAGTGTGTTAAGAAGTAAATATTAAATTTCTAGGCACAAAAATTCTTAGAAATAATAGTAAAAATCTGTTACTTGCAGCTTTACTGGTGCTTTAAAATATAATGATTTATACCTGAATATTTTTGAAACTTTGCATTCATTTTCAAGAGTGTTGAATTCAAACTTTCTCAGAAATAGTAATAAAGTTCAAGATAAAATACTGGCAACATTAAAATAGATCTAAACTAGAGTATTGTTTTGTCTGTTTAAGTTATAAATTTAGGTAGCATTAAAAAATTTAAAAACCTTTCNTATTTTAATTAATTAAATAATTAAAAGAATATTTTAAAAATATTTTAGCCATTTAAGATGGTTAACATTTAAAATTCTGTAATGTGTTCCAAAACTAAGTTTATATTCTAAGAATTGCCTTTCAGTTGTGAACACTCCCTAAAGATTGACTTTATTGGTCCAAAAATAGTTGGGAAAGTGTTATATTTTATTTGTAGTATCAATAAAGGTTTCTTATGAATTATACACATAAAATGACTCTCTAACTATTAAAGTTTTGTTAAGCTTCCTCCAAAATTAATTGTCTAATTTTTAAATCTAATTTTCATTTTTAGAGATAAGAAAAATACTATACAAAAATACTTAACTAAAAAAATTTATTCCATTCATAAAGACTTAGCAGATTTTAATTATTAGCAGAATTGCAATTTTTATTTTTAAAAAAGAACTTTTAGGAAAAAACAAATTATTTTAATAACTGTTTGAATTGTTATTGATTTCTATAACTCAAATCTGATGTCTCTTGAATAGATTTTATTGACTGACATTTAGGGACATAATTAAATTTAAAAATATAGATTAAAGTTAGTGTAGTATTTTTATTTAATAACATTTAAACTATAGTAGACTGCTTATTGTAATCACTTTGGACTCATCTAAACTGATGATAACTAGCTGATAAGTTTATGAAAAAAAAGAAAATATGATTACAGTTAGAAGAAATTCTTGTTTCAATGACTATAAAATTATATCAGACGTGTTAAAACAATTTTAAAATGATTAACATGATGACTTATTAATTAATAGCTAATTCAACCGATATTGTTTATCTCCTACCAACTTTAACAATAGCTAGTGTAATACCAGTAATTTAAACTATTGTATTGTGAGCAAATAATGATTAAATTGATTAATTTAAAGCAATGGTTAAGATCAATAACAACAACTTAACAAGGAATTTGTGTTGTCATCCACATATTGAGGCTGTTAGCACTAAAAGAATGTATAAAAAAAGCTTTATTTATCGAAAGATAATGATAACAGTAACCAAAATCTAATTACAATAAGTGAAGTTTTTATAACTCTTATGTTTTAACTTCTGCTAATTCTGACATTATTTGGTATTACAATAAGCAGACTACTGTATATTCAACATTTAAGGTAACAAAATCAATTAGCAAAGTGAAATTGAGATAGAAAACCTTAAAATCAATTTTTGTTAAAAAAGAATCAAATTCAATAGAATTATCTGATCTAAATTACTTTTTGTACTAATATTAGAAAGTATTTGTTTTATTTAAGAAAGCAAATAGATTGTTTTAGTATTGAAAGGTGTAAAAATTGATTTTATATACGGAATATTTTATAGGTACTTGTATGAAATAAAAAAAATAGCAATAAAATAATACACAGCTTATCTCCATAAAAGTATATTGTGACATTTATTTCTGTTATAATGGAGAGTATTCATTTATCATTTAGTAAGATTTTCTTAGTAAAAATATATATTCATTTATTTGACAGTAAGAAAAGAAAGGAAAGAAAATAAAAACCATATTACTGTTAGCAAAAGATTATTATTTTAATGAAAGATATTAAAAACAGAAAGGGAATGAAGTTGTCAAATTTCTTTTTGTTGTTTTTGAGTAAATGAATATTTATGTCTGTTAAATATGTTCTCATTACATTTGGATGTAACTTCTTAACACAAGATTTATTCTGTTTCTCACTTGATCAATATGGAATGTTTTTTTATTACAGCTGAATAGAATTTTATATCAGTTGGCTCTGGTCTCAAAAGTAGATTTTTATTTTTGTTTTGACTTGTAACAGTATTTATAAAACATACTGTTTCAGTTTGATTTCTAACTCAGAATAATTCAGTTTAGTAGGTTTTTAAAAATTATCTAAAACGTATTATTTAGAAGTCTACATGATGTATTTCTTGACTAATGTTGAACTGAATTTTCCCATATTTTTGTCAAAATAATTTAATTTTTTTATGTTTTTTTTATGCTAGATGTCCCAAATTCTATACATCTATAACTCTAATAACTACAATAATTGAAGAGATTTCTACAGTTCTTCTATATTATTTGATTCATTTTTTTAAAAATAAAGATAAGCATCTAATTTGTAATGAACCAAATGTAAACGTGTCAAATTTCTAAAATAAAATTCAACTTGCAAATATGTTTTTAAATAGCTGTTAGCATTTCCATAGATATTTACTAAAAAAATATAAATCAGCTTATAAAATATTTTTAGTATTTATTGATTCAAACAAAAAAAAAGTGAATATTAAATAGAATAAAATATCCAATATATATGTTGTAATTTAATGTACAAATTTATGTCTGAAATAAATAAAATGTATCACCTAATCATGTTGATATAAATTGAGTACTGTATAACAAAAATTTACATGAATTATTAATTGTGTGTTCTATTTATATCAATTTGTAAAATATTTTATATGTTACAGGTCTATTTACTAGTTTTAGATAAATTAGATGCTTAAAATGAAATATTGATTGACTGCATTTTCAGAAATTAGCTTTTTCTTATTAAATTTTAATTATCTTTGATCTATGTTTCCTTATTAATGTTTTATATAAATGTGATGTGTGTGTGTGTGTTTGAATATATATATTGTCAATTTTACTTAATTGTTTGCTTAAAATGTATATTTAAAGATCAATATACATTCTCAGTATTTGCTATTTTAGATTTTAATTATCTCTGATTCATTTTAATATTTTCATTCAATATTTATTCTTATGATAGCTAAATAAATTGATATAAAGTTTTTATATAAAAATGTTTTTTATCAGCCAAATAATTTCATGGTAAGGTGTCTGTGGGGATCTGTTTGAAATTCTGATTTGAATCCAATTCAGGCTTCCTTAATTTAGATTAACTATTGTAGTTTTTGAAGCATCATTCTTCATATCTAACCTATATCAGCCAACCTTGTTGCAGGTTAGTTTTCCTATTCAGCAGTGGTGTTGGCCAGTTATAACTACAATATATCCATTATGGATGGATTTATAATTGTATTCACACAGGGTATATAATTGAGGCTGTCCTGATCAATTATCTAAAAAAAATTTTTTTTAGAATGTTGTTTATATTTTCAAGACACATTTTAGTTTGAAAAAGTTTAATTATTTTTGAATATAATAATTAACATACTATTTATATATTAAAATTAGTTTGTAATTTTCAGTTTGATAAATTATTGTTAGGAAAATAATTATTAAAAATTGAAAATTTTCATTTTTCTAAGGTCAAATTTATTACAAATTTAATTAATTTGTAAATATAACAAACAAGTGCAATTTTATTTTATTTTAATCCAAATGATTTTAATATTAAATAGTTAATTGAGATGTTCTATTTTTATCTTAAATTTCTACACTTATTTAAGATATAAATAATGAATCTATAATTCTTGTAAAAGTATTTAATGTCCTAATTATCAGTTTAAAATTTCTTGATAAATTTGTAAATTTTATTAATAAGAATAAAATTTTTTGAAAATTATTTTATATATTAAATGAAAAATTAATGTATTATTTTTTGGGATTTAGAAAACTAATAAAGTAATAAT